CCGATTATTACTATTATTATTACTACGACTACGACTACGACTACGACTACTACGACTACGACTACTACTACTGCTACTACTACTACTACTACTACTACTACTACTACTACTACTACTACTACTACTACTACTACTACTACTACTACTACTACTACTACTACTACTACTACTACTACTACTACTACTACTACTACTACGGCTACGACTACTACTACGACTAGCACTGGTACTACTACTACTACTACTACTACTACCACCACTTCTACTACTACTACTACTACTACTACTACTACTACTACTACTACTACTACGACTACTACAACTACTACGACTACTACTACTACTACTACTACTACTACTACTACTGCTACTACTACGACCTCCACACTTGCCAGCGTTGATCTGCTTGTCGCCCCGCGCAGCGCCTAGGCGAGCTGACCCTCATGAGCTTTGCGCTCCTTCTCCCCTCCTTCCCTTCCTATGTCCTGTAGCCTTATGAGTAATTCCTCCCTGTCGCACCCACAGACGAGTCGGTCGGGCGGGCCGGGGTTTTCGCTTGAGAGTTGCTCAGGGCATCTGACCCTGAAGCTCGAAATCTGGAACGGTTTCAACGATGTAGGACGACCCGTTTTTGAACTGGGGCTCTCGCCATAGCGCCGCGCACATTCGCTTTAAAGTTCACCATAGATTCAATGATTGAGGGCGGCTCCTTTTCAAAATGTGCCTCTCGCCGTAGCGCCGCGTGCATTCGTTTCAAAAGTCCGCAGTCGTCTGAAGGCTTCGCATGATCTGAATTCCCACGAGCGGTGTTCTGGCACTGTGTCGGGTGGACAACATTGATCGCGGTGTCGACCAACACGAACCGTATTCTGGCAGCGCTTAGCAGTGGCAGGGCGCAATCGTCACGTTGATTCGCGTCGCTGAAATCCTAGAAATTATGTTTTGGCACGAGTGAGAATTCTCAGACGGCTGTCTTCCGATGGGACACTTACACCTTTAGGAAAGGTACTTGCACGGACCAACGAAGAGGGAACCAAAGGGTTCATTGCAACATCGTTGGCACGTCTTGGGCTTGCACTGCTCCTCTTCCTCTGGGAAAATCGGGGGGGCATCGAAGACTCGGGAAGGTCCAGGGCGTCTCGTGGGCGTCCTTCGGGGAGTCCTGCTGGCCTCCAGGGAGCCCAGGAAGCGGACAGGACCCACCCAGACACCTTTGAACCCTTCAGTGCCCCCAAGACGCCCACAAGACGTTAGCAGAAATGTATTGGAGGGAGGGATATGATTGAACATGTGGTCCGTGCTGAAGCGTGGGGTCTCTGCAGACACCTACGTGATGATCCGCACGCTGCACTGCTGCTTACGGATTTTGCTTTTGCCTTCCCTAGCCTCGCGCAGAGTTGGTTATTCTTTGTCTTAGAGAAGATGCACATCCCCGCGGTTGTTACGAAGTTTTTCGGTACGATGTACACCTCGAATCGTGCCATCGTCTCTCTAGCAGGTCGTCGGTTCCAAATGATTGCAATCGAGTCAGGTGTGAAACAGGGCTGTCCTGCATCGATGTTCTTGTTCGTGCTTGCGGCAGAGCCGCTTCTGAAGTGGCTTAGACATCGGTGTGAGGTGAACGTCAACCTCACTCTTGCGTATGCGGATGACTTCCTCTTTGGGCTGATGAATGTCCTTGTCGATCTAGATCCGCTCCTCTCTGCCTTAATGCAGTTGCAGTACATCGCCAATGTGAAGCTTAACTTCAAGAAATGTCAGATTGTGCTTTGTGGAAGCACAAGCAAGGAGCTGCTTAGTTCCGTGCTGGCGAGTTATGGCGACCCGTTTTTGCAGTTTCAAGTTGTGCGTTGGGCCGTGTACCTGGGATTTCCGATTGGCCCTGAGGCGGCCAAGCACGTCTGGTCTGACATTATTCCTGGCTTCCTGGAGAGAGTTCACCAAACTCGCCATCTCGGACTAGGTTTGGCGCAGAGTGCGATGGCGTTCCGTGTGATGTGTGTATCGAAGCTGTTGTATAGACTGCAGTTGTACCCGCCCAGTGAGCTTCTTATTCACCAGTTCCGTGAGGCTGTGATGCGCCTGACTGCAGGCCCAAGGAATGCCATTTCATGTAACATCGGCGTCAAGCTTAAGTCGATTGGGTTTCGATCGGAGTTTGTTGAGATCTTGGCCGTGTCTAGAGCTGCCCACATTCGTTACTTCCTTCGATCTCGTTGTCTTTATGGCGTCTTGGAAGACTTGGAGGCTACTCGGGAGGACCTTGAGCATACTCCGTATCGTTGGCACGTGGGGTGGAATCAGGATTCTTTCTTGGGGTTTGCATGGAGGTCGAGGTCTTGGTTTTCTAGGCTGAACTTGGAGCTTTCCGCAGGCACCCCCAAGCTTCAACATCAATTTTACCTTGCCTTTAGAGCCCTTCAACACTCTGAACCCGTTCGTCACACCATTCTTCGTCGCATTCGACTGTTGGATCTCAGCCTTGACATGGGACATGTCGACTGTTTCTGCAACGCTATTCATCGTATTTGTTCTGTGTCCTCTATGTACGTTGGTGTTGCACCGCTCAGATTGATCACTGGATCAGTGTGCACCTCAGCTCGATTTCACTCGTGCGCTGCCGGCTGTTTATTTGGTTGCCTGCCTTCTGCCAGCGAAGATCTTGACTCCATTCGCCATTATGCTCAGTGTCCAGAACTTCAAAGATTATTCCGCTCCTGGTTGGGTGAAGATTTGGAGGTCCGTCGTGCACATGTGAGACAACATTGGTTCCTCTCCTGCTCTCTCCTCTTCTATGATTCCGTGAAGGCCTGTTTGAAGCGCGCTGCCTGTGTTGATGTTTTTTTTTGCTGCCCTTAACTCTCGGCGGCTGAGGCGTGACGCCTCGCCTGCCGGGGCCTGTGAAGCGCGATTGCGCATCACTGCTCGCAGGCACCGTGCCCTCTCACGTGCTTGGAGCTTTGATTCCTCCACCTCGCTTTTCGGCGCGACAGCGGCCGCTTCCCAGTGGAGCGCTGCCCGCGGCGCGTGTTCCTGGCACCCCGCGTGGCAGATGGGTGCTCAGAGAGTTGAGAACTGCTCGACCGAGAGTCGACCGCCGGAATCAAACTTAAACACGGCGAGAACCGTGCTTTTTATATATATAATAAAAAAAAAAAAAAAAAAAAAAAAAAAAAAAAAAAAAAAAAAAAAAAAAAAAAAAAAAAAAACGCCCACACGACGTCGAATACCTCCTCGACCTTCGATTCTCCTGGGAGGAGGTGGCGGCCCCCCTCCCAGGTGGCAAGCCCCCTCCCAGACCCCCGACGTGATGATTTGTCCAGATCGTCCCTCTGCTCCGCCCGCTGGAAAAACCACGCCGCGAGGGGATCCCCGAGCTTCGAGGGGAAGAGGTGGCGACCCCCTCTGGGAGGAGGAGGAGGAGGAGGAGGAGGAGGAGGAGGAGGAGGAGGAGGAGGAGGAGGAGGACGAGGAGGAGGAGGAGGAGGAGGAGGAGGAGGAGGAGGTGTCCCTCCCCGCCTGGGCGCCGCCCGGGCCAGCCTGCCCCCGCTCGCCGGGCACGTGCTGGCCTCGGCCCAGGCGCTGGACGCCGTGCTGGGGCTGCACCTGGGGCTGCTGGAGCGGGCCGACTTCGACCCGCAGCTGGGGGCCTGCCTGGCGACGCCGCTCGGGGCCAAGGCCCGGGGGGACGGGGCTCCAGTTGGGCCTGCCCCTCTACAGGAGGCATGATCAAAAATAGTCCAAAAATCGTCCGGGGACCATCTTTGGACCATTTTTTGAATCTGTTTTGAATATTTTGGGGGTTATTCTTATGTTTCGCCCCAAATCCGCCTGTAGGGGGACACGCCCGACCTCAGACAAGACCTTCTCTCAGATCCGGGCGCTGCGCTCTCGCGCGCCAGCCTCCGGCCCCAGGGCCATCACAGGTCGATCGGGGTGGAACAGTGCCGCAGAAAGGCGAGGTTGGGGCCTCCTCGGACGGGGGCTAGGACGAGGATGAATCCTTTCCAGAGCGTGCCAGAATTCTCTCAGAGCGCCCTGGAACGCTCTGAGGGGGCCTCGGCGGCCGAGACATCGTCCAGAGCCGCCGCATCTCAGAGAGATTTCTGATCTATCCTCACCGAGCGCGTTCCACTTCTCGCAAAGTGCCTACTCGCAAACGTTTGAACAAAAAAAAACATGCCTGCTTCGAGAATTCCCGCGGCGGCTCCAGGTCCTTGGCAAGGAGTTACCCTGCGAGTGGTGCGCGCTCGCCTACATCCACACGCTATTATATGAGTAGTGTCTGTGCGTCGGCCCCCCCAAGGGTCGACGCGCGCGCTCGGTACATCGGCGGCAAGCGAGGGGGGGGGGCGAGGGGGAAGGAGCAGGCCCTCGCAGACGGCGGCGGGGCTTCTCGGAAGCCCTCTGGCCTTCTGAGCAGCTGTCCGTGTCTGCGGGAGCGGCGCAGGAGACTCCTCAGAAGGCCGGGGCGCTTCCGAGCCTTCTGGGAAGGCCCTCCTTGACCTTCTGAGACGTTGTCTGTGTCTCGGGGGGCGGCGCAGGAAACTCCTCGGAATGCCAGGGGGGGGTCCCGAGCCTTCTGGGAAGGCCCGGCCCCTCTCCCGCCCCCCCCCCTCGCTCGCCGCCGAGAGCCGTGCTCGGTGGCGGGCGCGTTCGGGCAATACCGCCCGGGCAACGATTCAAACACAAGATGCTTGTCTTACATGTTCGAGTCGGGCGTGCACCGCCCGGGTAACGATTCAAAACACAAAGTGCTCGTGTCTTAGATGTTCGATGCGGGCGTGCACCTCCGCGGGGGCGCAGGGTGCCAATTAGCACGTCCTCCTGCATCCCGAGGGGGCCCAACAGCGCGTCCTTCTGCCTCCCGAGGGGGCCCAACAGCAGCGTCCTTCTGCATCCCGAGGGGGCCCAACAGCAGCGTCCTCCTGCATCCCGAGGGGGCCCGGGCCTCCGACGATCCGCTCGTGTCCGCCCCGGCGCTTTTCCTCTCCTGGACGTCGGCCCTGTGGGTGCCCGTTGCCGGGCACCCGAGGGCCAGCCGAGAGGGATCGGGGCAGAAAGCTACCCTGGAGTCGGGCCTGTCCCTCTTCAGGAGGCATGTTCAAGAATAGGCAAAAAATAGTCTGGAGGCGATTTCTCGATCATTTGCTATGTGTTTCTTTTGTTTGATGTTTTCGACTATTTTTGATGATTCGTCAAAAATAGTCTGGGCCGAAAAACTACCCTGAAGTCGGGCCTGTCCCTCTGCAGGAGGAATGTTCAAAAATAGTAAAGAAAATACTCTGGAGACGATTTCTCGATCATTTGTTATGTTTCTTGTTTGTTTGATGTTTTCGATTATTGTTTGAGTACTCGTCCAAAAAATAGTCTGGAGACGATGTTTCTATCATTTTTTGTTTTTTTGTTTTATAGTTTTGGTGGTATGTTGTAGCTCTCGTCCAAGATCCGCCTGCACGGGGGACATGCCCGACCTGAAGCTGCCCCCGCGGAGGGGGTCGGAAGCACCGGGGCCGCGGGTTGGCAGAGCCACGTCGGAGGAGAAGGCAGGGGACGGCATGCGCATAGGCCAGCGGAGGCCCGCCCGGACTCGCCGTCGAATCGGCGTTGGGGGTGCACCTCCCGTGGCGCGCGGAGACGCGGCCAGCACTAGGTCGGGCGTGTCCTCCTACAGGCGGATTCTGGACGAAAAACAAAGAATAGCCCAAACAAATAGCAAAGACAGCATAAACAAATAATAGAAAAATCGTCCCCAGGCTATTTGTTGACTATCTGTGAACACTCCTCCTGTAGAGGGACATGCCCGACTGAAGGCCAGCATGGGCTCGGCCACGCGCAGAGTGGGGGAGGGGGAGGGGGGAGAGGCTTCTTAGGAGCACCCCTGTTTCTTAGAAGGTGCCGGCCTTATCGATGAATGTAAGGCCGGCGTCTTGTCTAAGGCCCAGCTCTCGTGGCGCGCGGAGACGCAGCCAGCATGCCCAGACCTTTCAGGACGGCCAAAAGATAGCGCCAGGACATCGATGTCCACATTCCAGTCGAGGTTTTAGGCACTGCAGATATGGGTCTGTGCGTCTGGAGGCTATGTTTTAGCATTCTCGAGGCTCAGGGTGAGCGAGGGCTGGACATACATATGGTGCAGGCTGTCACTCCAGCGCTCGGGGCCTTCTGCAGCCGGGCACGCCGGGCGTCCGCACGAGCATGCAGCGCATGGCCCCAAGATGTTCCGCGTGTGAGTCCAGGCATGACATGTATATATGCTCCCGCGCATTGCGGCCTCAATTTGCATACAGCGTGTCCCCTGTTGCCATTCCGCCGGAGCAGTCGACCTCTGCCCAACCGCCGACGGAAAAAAGTGTGTGTGTGTGCTTGTATGTGCGTGTGTGTATATACGTGTGTGTGTGTTGTGTTGCTGTGTTGTGTTGTGTTGTGTTGTGTTGTGTTGTGTTGTGTTGTGTTGTGTTGTGTTGTGTTGTGTTATGTTGCGTTGTCTTGTGTTGTGTTGTGTTGTGTTGTGTTGTGTTGCGTTGTGTTGTGTGTGTTGTGTCATGTCGTGTCGTGTTGTGCCTTGTCGTGTCGTGTCGTGTCGTGTCGTGTTGTGTGTTCCAGTTCCCTCCTTCCCTCCTCCTCCTCCTTCGGCCGCCCCCCCGCGTCTCCTTCCAATTTCCTGCATGGTGGCACATTTCGCCTTAACGGTATCCCCGTGTTGATTGTTCTTTCGCCAGCGCAGTTCCTCTGGCTGGCCGCCGACGCAAAAAGTGTTCCAGCTCCCTGGTACGCGTGGGGCGTGCCGAAAACGGCCTTGCCTTCGAGGGTCGAAGGAGTTGTCATCGTTTCCACCGCGGAAGGGCGGCGGAAGGTCGGCGGAAGTGAAACGAGGCCGCCTCCGCTGGCGGAAGTCGGCGGACGGCGGCGGGAGTAAAAAGTCGACGGCCCGAGAGCTGAAAACGTGTTTGGGTCAGGGTTCCCGAAATCGGCCACAGAAGCAGTAAACTGCCAGGGCTCCGCCCAGAACTCTTGGATCCGCGCCAGAGCCCCCCTGGCGCGCGGAGCGCGCTGGGAGGGGTGCAGCGCAGCTCCGGGAAGTCCGCGCGGACCTCCGGCAGATGCCTACGCCGATGGCGTTGTCCCAAAAAGGTGAGGAGCGCGGTGCTGCGGGCGCTGGAGCAGCAGGCGGAGGTTCGGGAGAGGGCAACTATACACATCCACCTCTCTCCTGCCCCTCTCCCCTACCAGAAGGGAGGGAAGAGGATTTGAGGAGGAGGAGGGAGAGATGAGAAAGGAGGCGGACCTGTGTAATGAGCTCAATGCCTAGAGGTCGCCCCAGAGCTACATTCGCTGCGCTGGGAGCTCGCCGCGCACAGCTCGAGGGCCCCCAAACGGTGCGGTGATCACACCGTGTGGTGGGTCAGTGGGGATTCGGGGTGACCGCCCGGATTGGGGACTTGGTTCCTTCTCCGAGGATGTCTCGGGCGACTGGGGCCTCCCTCCCAGGTCCCAAAG